GATGGAGGAAAGACCAATTTCTCAATGGTCAGCAGAATATTCATCCAGAGAAATAAGTGGCCAAATCTGAAATCCTACAAGTGTGTATTTAACCAAGGCAATGGAGAAAGGAAGTTTCCAGAAAATGATAAAGTTCTTACTGGTAAGAGTATGAACCTTTTGATTTGCAATTTTTTTTCCATTCATGAATGTAATTGTGAGTGAGTGTCCTATCAAACCATAGCCTTTCGACACTCTGACTCCTCTGGGATATAGATGGTGGTTAACGTATTACTAAAATCAAACTACAAAACATCCCCTAGAACAACTCCCACATGGTATTTGGCAAAATATATAATTTATATATAATACATAATATAGGGAATTATCACTTAGCTGAAGGAGAAATCAGGTGCATGGTGGCGCAGTGGTTTGCATTACTGCTTGCAGTGTTGGAGCCCTGTGTTCAATGCGAGACCTGGGGTGCTATCTGCTGTCTGAGGTTGATGTCCTCCCTCTGTTAACACAGATGTTCTCCAGGTGCTCTAGTTTCCTCCCACAGTAAAAAGACATACTGGTAGGTTAACTGGCACCTGGGAGAACTGGCCTTGGTGTAAGAGTGGGTGAAGATTCCCACAAAATAATTTCTATACATAAGTGTTTCATTCAGCCAGCTCCACAACTGAGGACAGCAGAGAAACACTGAATCTGCTTTGGTAGAATACAAAGAATAAAGAACAACAGCTCATTTTAGAAATAAGAGTGAAAACGTCTAAGAACTTAAACTTACTGAAATATGGAAGCATTTAATTATTTGAAAAAAAAAAGTTTGAATATTATATGGACATATAAATAGAATTTGATATCTCATTAAAAAAGATAATTGGCCTAGTCAATACAACACCATGAATTAAACTTATGTGCACAGCTGTGATATTCTGAAACATGCTTTGTGCCTCTTTTGAGATTGTGTACATTGATCTCAGTCCTAAAGCCTGAAAGATGCATCATCCTATCAACTGACTGTACCTGAAATACCAAAGATATTGTTGCAAAGATACAAACTGCTCTACCACTAAATTAGCAACATTATCTGTATCCCACCATTATCAAACACACATTTGGGAAAGCCATTCCATGGGTTAAGATTAAAACAATATGTTCTCCTTTGTAAAGGTCTTGCAAGTGCACCCACAGTCAAACTCCTGCTATCCCCAAGTGAAAGCCAATCTGAGAAAAGCCCCCTGCATCTGGTGTGTTCTGCATCTGGGTTCAGTCCAACAATCAAGTGGCGTAGTCAAGATCAACCGAAGAGGAGCACAACTGAGAGAAGAGCAAGAGGATCAGATGGTCGCTTCAGTGTAACTAGTGAGCTGGAGGTACCCAAGAGCGAGTGGAACAGAGGAGATGTTTTCCAGTGTGAAGTGGAGGACCCATTTCTTCTGCACACCAGGAAAGAAAACATCAGTAAATGTTCAGGTATGGGCAGTATCACTTCTCTCAGGAATCTCATGATATACAGTTGATTTTAATCTACAATGTAACCTTTTACTCAAAAAACAAACAAAAACATCACAACTGCTTGGGCAGTTTCCAATATCTGCTTCAGTATCACTGAGGTCCAAGTCTAGGCAAACAGGGCAATCCATCATGTCCATAAATTCTTTAAAACATTATCTTCAACTCTGTCTGACAAAAGTAACTGTAATCGGAATGAATACTCACTATTAGTTCGATTTAACCTTTAATAATGAAAATCCCTGTGGAGCACCCAATCACGAAAGAAGACACAGAAATGTAAACTTGATACATAGGGTGTTCTCTTCTCTTCCAGTGCTTCAGAGTTCTCCTAGGAATGCAGCAGTGTTTCTCATTGGACCATCGATCCAAGACATTTCTCAGGGAAAACAACTCACTGCCACATGTCTGGTGATTGGCTACAACCTACAGGAATTTTCCATTACCTG